TACCAGAATGTAAGCTACCTATCCTAACCCTATAATCGCTCTATATTTAAAAAAAATAACAAAACAGGCACACCAACAAACTCGCTCCACGGTTCTCACACACACCACTCGGGCGCAGACCTAAACTAGAGAGGACCTCCCGGGACGCCTCCGACACACCCGAGTTTAGCATACAACATTCACACTCTAATTTACGTACATTTCTCCTGAAATCGACTGACAATGGCTAGCGACCATTGCGTAAAACGTGATTAAAACACGTTTATATTTACAGCTAATAATAATAACTAAGAAAAAATATATATATAATTTCTATAGAAAGTACACGTATAAGTTGGCTTGGAATCATTATTATAATTGATAGTATAGTTATAATAATAATAATGTAATTATAGTATATTACGATACTAAGTATTATGATAAGTTCATATTTCTTTAAATTAGTGCATAAATATTTTAAATATTTCGATGATGAATGCAACAATAGAAACGACGCAATTCCACATCCTAACCACACACACACATGCGGAAAATACGTCGTGCACGATACGCTAACACATTGTCCGCTGAGAAATTTTTTATAAAATTACAAACTATGGTCATCGTGCCCAATGTCTTTCACCCACCCAAGTAGCACCTGGACACGTGAGTGAGATCCTGACAATGAACACGGAAGGAATTAAACCTGAAAATCCTAAACTAAAGAAATGATTAGTTTATATAATTTGTATCTAACGGACTATTGTATTATTTTTTTAAACTGTAATGACTCTACTCTTTCAGAAATTATTGAAATTGCAACAAAATAAAAACAATGAACAAGACTTGAATTTAGTAAAAAAGATATGGAATTTAACAATTGACTAAAACAATCAGAATCAAACAATTGACGCTAAATTAAGTATTAATAGAAACAATCTCAGGCGACTTCTTCATCAAAGCACATTTTCGAAAATGAGAAAACAGTGTTCAAACTTGTTGCCTTGATTCAAAAATCTGCCTGTCGCGAAACATCTTCTTGCACATAAAATTTTATACATTTTTCTACGAAATTGATTATATTTCAAATTGTATCGAAGTTCATAATTATAAAATTCAACCAATTGAATCATTTAATACTATTATAAAAGGAAAAATAAAGTTGAAAATTATTAGTTATTATAACAAAATAATAAGTAATAACTGCATCTTTCGTAGGAACAAAGTCGGAGAGTATCCGTTTGCTCTACTATGAAATGCTCACGAAATCGTTTTAATAATAATTATTTATAAATATTTATAATTTATCTATTT